TGTAAATGAAGTTGTGTGGAGATTGACGGGGTCACTACTTGCCGCACACGCACAGCTGAGACACGGCTGTCAGATCGGTAATCCCTAGATAGAAACGCAAGACGTGATAACAATAAATGTTGCATAGCGCACGAGTAGCGAAGGCGGCGCGAGTCGGCACGCTGCATTATTTGACAAGTAACCCGGCGCCCACGATCGTAATGAGACGTAACGGGGGCGTAAATTCACCCAGCAGACGTATAAGTGTTCGTACTTTTGTAAAAGGGGACTATACCCCTATTTCGTGGGTTGCGCGCACCGGCCCGGTCAAGGTGGTGGGGTTGTGACCAGAGGTCAAGGTCGTAGTTCGTGACGTGAGACTCAAGGTCACAGGGTTGCAACCTGAAATCAAGGTCGCAGGGTTGCGTGCCTGGTCAAGGTCGGGCGTAACGAGCGCGTGCTTTCTGCGCAGGTCGCTCCTACTGCGAGATCGGATTCGCCGCAGCTACGGGCGGGCAGGCAACAGGGACTAAAGCGGGCAGGCACAGTCGGGTCGGCCGCTGTCGCCGGCGACGACACGCAAGCAACAGGGTCAGTGGAACGATTCGCCGATCTCTTCTCCATGTCAAAATATGTGTTATTATACGCGCGGCCGAGCTGAAACTAACGAACTGCGCGAGCGTGGTCAGTGTCCGGTGTATATATGCATGGATTTTGTGAGTATAGAATAGATCTGCGAAACGCGTAACTTGCCGTCTCTCTCGCTTCGCAACCCATCCACCTACCCCCCCCACACCGCACGCCACATCGTCTAGACGATTCCCTGTAGTTGTGCTGTGCGCGGCCGTCACGATTCGCCGGATCCCGTAAATTGTTATTGTAGCCGGTCGATTTGCTTGTTTTAGGCTGATGATAGAAGACTGCTGAATCCTCCCGCGCCCACTTCGTACGGCCATCGAGCAAAATCGCTCGTGGAAATTAGCGGAAAGGGCAAATGGGTCAAAAGGCATCCTTGCTTAGCGATAGAGCGCCTAAAACAAAATAAATGCATGTGTTTCCGAGAAGCGGTCCTCTGAAAAACTTAGGCTGCGGTCAGTCAGGTCACCGCGATTTTTTTTTTGAAATAAAAAAAGATCCGAAAATGTCCGTGTTGTAGATGGTGAGGTGAGTAGCATATGTTGGAGTTAGTGATTTATTTTTGGAATTGATAATTGATTTTTGAGAATTGATAATTGATTGAATTTATTTTTATTCTTAAATTTTTGATAAATTTTGATATTTTTTTTTAAATGGAGGAAAAAAAGGGTGCGGACCGCTATTTGCTAGGTAGGGTGGGTTCTCGGAACCATTTTTTTTTAGCCATAAGGACCTCTCTCTCATGGGCAGCAAGCAGGGTGTCCCTTAGGAGGGAGTTGTCCTTAGGAGTGCTAAGGGCCTTCTATATCTACCTTTCTCTATAGGGTTCTTTGCTAACCGGCATGTCGAACTGGCTACGGCTACCTAGCATATTATTATCTCCTATAGCCTAGCATAGTGCTATCTCCTATACCTATCTATCTCGCGTTAGTAATTTTGATCGCTCGGGTCCGCGCGTCCCGTCGCGTAATCTCGCGAGTGCTCACCGGCGCCCCCTGGCTGTCCGCAGGAGGCGCCCGAGGTGAGCCGCTGTCTCGGCGTGTTCGGACTGCTCGGCTGTAACTGGAGCCGAGCGGGACATCCGCGAGATGTTCGGCCGCTACGGAACCATGGAGGAGTGCTCGGTCATCTACGACCACAGGGTAAGGTGGGCGCACTCGCTGCGCGACGCTCTTGTTTTTTTGCGCGCGAAGTTTCGTTCGATTTCTGATCGTCGTCGCCGTTTACGCACGTAGTGGACAAGTGAACGTCGTGTTTTCGGAGCGAGATCCGTTTGCGGCTTGAATGCCGGCGGGGGCGCAGTGAGGCGGTTTGGCCGGCACGACTGTTCACTTGTTTCTCTCCGCGCTCACTGTCTGTGACAGACATGCAGAGTGACACTTTAGACAAAGTTAATATTGAGACTAAAGTCATTTTGTTTCTGACAATGAAGGCCCAGATTGCATATGCTAGAATCTCATCTTCAAACTTTAACTTCAGTGCCTTAACGTGCTTCGCCTTGTTTTCCCACAGACCGGGAAAGTCTCGCGGTTTTGCCTTCGTCCACTACAAGAATCAAGATGAATGCGACAGAGTGAGTAGGCTGTGGGATGTGGCGTCCTCCTCCTCTCCTGCGCTCCTCGCTGCCCTCCCTCGGCTCCCTCGCCCTCCGCTCCTGCGCTCCTCTCCTCCCTGCCTCCTCCGCTGGTCCTCCTCCTGCCCTCCCTCCTCGCTCCCTCCCTGCCCTTCTTTCTGGCGTAGTAAAAAAAAGAGTGCATGTCAGTATCTGAGCGAGGTTGAACGTGGTGTTTAGTAACGTGGTGTGTAGAGTCTTTAATAGTTTAAGCATTGCAGCGGCCGACTTTTACTCACATAGGTAGGCCGCCTACTGTAAGTTTTCATTTGAGGGTGGCCAGTCGATTTGTCGTCTGTGTCTCGCGTGATTTGGGGGTAAGGCAATGCTGCTGCTCGGTTCGCGAAGGGATACGCGTACAAGGATTCGCCAGTGTTATATATTGAGCATGTATCGCTAGCCTTTTTAAACTGCCAGGCTGTCAAGCAATTATATATGTACATCTACAATCTGCAAGGAGTAGTTGTATTGTTACGGTGCCTTCGTGGAGACGGCTGCGGGGGGGGTTTCTGTTTCGACTGCGGTCGTCATTATTGACGTTCTCTGTTATTTGCGCACACGCGCCAAGGGCGAAGGAGAGCTGCGCCGGCATAGAGGGCTGGATGGGCGCGCAATCGAGTCCGACTACTCGATCACGAAAGCGTGCGCACACACCCACCCCGAAGTTTCTAGCCTGGTCGACCCACCGGCGGTACGATATCCCGCTTTCCGGCCCACCCCTATCTCAAGATCTAAGATACGCTGCGCGGCCGGTCTTTGAAAAAAGTGGTTCGGGAAAAAAAACGGCGACTGTCGCTAAGACGTGGGACTTGTATCGCGTGTTTTTTAAACGAAATTCTAGTATGGAAAAAAATTCGATACAAAATGCCGCGTCGTCTCCGCGGTTACCCGCGTCAAATAACTCCGACGATGTCGTCTGCGGGCTTACAGCGGCGGCGGAGGCGCGCGGGCGGTGGGGGCGGCCGTCGAGGAACGACTACGGGCGGCGGGGAGGCTAGCGAGGGAGGAGGCGGCGGATACGGCGGCGGCGAGAGGGTAACGGAGGAGAAGGAGGAGGCGGCTAACAGCGAGGAGGACGGAGGGTACGGCTGGAGGAGGAGCCGGCTGACGGAGGAGGAGGTGGCTACGGAGGAGGAGGACGCGAGGAGGAGGATACAAGAGGGAGGGCGCGGCTACTGCCTCGGCTATCGCGCTGCGACCGGTCCGCGGCTCGTATCTCCGCGTAAAGTACCGGGATGAATCACGCGTTTGCCCCCGTCTGCTGGCGTCCCCGCTGCCTGGCGTCTGAATGGCCGCGCCGGGGGTGCGGAAACACGCAGCGGAGGGGGGCGACGACGCCCAGCGCAGTGCGTATAAGGACGGCTTAATTGTAGGTGGGGCTTAGATAGGAACTGTAGCATTTCCCACACAGGCCTTGCCCAATACATTCGGGAATGGGGGGCGGGGGGTATGGTTAGAAGCCATTGTAGCAGTTTGTAGTATCTCCCTTACAGGCACTGTCAAATACATTTGGATTAGGGGGAGGGGTGCTGTTGGAAGTAACTGTAGCAGTTTGTAATATCTCCCACTCGGGCCCTAGTTAATACATTCAGGGGATGGGGAGTGATGTTAGAAGCTACTGTAACAGGTTATAATATAAATCACACAGGCCATGCTGAATACATTCAGGGGGTGGGGAGCTATGTTAGAAGCTACTGTAGCAGGTTATAATATCTCCCTCACAGGCACTGTCAAATATATTCGGATTGTGGGGAGCGATGTTAGAAGCTACTGTAGCAGTTTGTAATACGTCCCACACAGGCCCTAGTTCATACATTCAGGGGATGGGGGTACCGTTAGAAGCAACTGTAGCAGGTTATAATAGCTCCCACACAGGCCATGCTTAATACATTCGAAACGTCTCCCCCGCCTAGAATAGTGAAGTACGATTACAGAAGTACAGCTTCACGATCCACGTAAAGCCGGCCCGCCATGCGACCACATAGCGTACCCCGCGTTTAACATCCCCCGCTCCTCAAACCTAGTTATTCGCTTACAGATATTACTCGGTTAGCCCTATGTTAGCCTCATTTGGTGTCGAAAGCTTCATATATAATCGATTAGACAGTGCGTAGCAGCACCGCCGCCTTGCACTCTCCCATAATGCTTTGGGGAAATTCCCCGCACACGCGTAGAACGGTGACGTGGCGCCACCTTGCAATAGAAGTTCGCTCGATCGCTCCGCGGAGCCATGATGATGTTGTTGCTTGCAGGTCGGGACCGATACTAAGAGTAAAACCGCATGTCGACCTCACGATGGATGTAGTGTGTTAGTGACAAAACACGCGCGTCCGCCCGCTCCCTGCACGCGCGCGTGCGTGCGTGCTCTCTCTCGGGTTGTATGGGGTGTAGGGAGTACTAGAGACTCTCCTGCGCTCATACCCTTGGCACGGGCTGGCAGAGAGAGAGAGAGAGAGAGAGAGAGAAGGGGGGGCGCGGATCTAGACTCGCTGACTTTTGTTTGTATTCGTTGCTGTTTATTTGTTACTTGCACACGTGCGCAGACAGACACGTGCATGTATACGGAAACCAGAAACAAGCAAACAAACGAACGTAAACAAACAAAGACGCATGCGCGAACGAACACAATAATATATATATATATAGTATATGTATACATGTACATATAGCTACACTCATGTAGTTACATGAGGTTGGTTGTTCCTCACCAGTATACCCCTGCGTGTGTCGGTGAGCGGCCTAGATCACGGTGCACCTCGACTGAGCGGAAGGTGGTTTTTCTGCGCGACTGCTCGTAGATCGATCGATCAATCATCCTTCAGTCTTGCTCGTTTTTTCGCGTGTCCCAATTCTTTCTGGCAACGTTTCCAACTCGCTCCCTCCCCTCTGCCGCAGTCGCGAGCGTGCGTCACTCCAGATCCGAGTTTTTTCGCACGCGCCGGCGTTTGCGTTCATCTTCGACTTCATCGGATCTAATTAACAGCGCGACCGAGCGGCCGATCCGTCCGCCCCAATCGTTGCACTGCCAAGGTCGTAGTTTTTTACGAGCGCCGTGGTTGATTCTTACGAGGTCGGAGAGCCGACGATAACTCGCCGGCGTAGTGCAGTGTAGTGGGGTTGGTTGTGTGTGTGTGAGGGGGGGGGGTGGCAGTGCATTGAAGGTAAGACCGTGCCACAAGGCAGTTAAGAAGGGGGTATGTCTGTAAAGTTAACGGCTGGTCGAGGCGGAATGGAGAAGGGGTAGGTTCATCAAGCGTAATGGCTTGTTGTCGTGAGGAGGGGGTGAGTGCATTGAAGGTAACAGCTTGTCCTGGTGTCGTAGAGGAGGGGAGTAAGTGCATTGAAGGTAACAGCCTGTTGTTGGATAGAGGGGAGTAAGTGCATTGAAGGTAATAGCCTGTTGTGGGATAGAGAGAAGTAAGTGCATGAAGGTAATAGCCTGTTGTGGGATAGAGAGAAGTAAGTGCATTGAAGGTAACAGCCTGTTGTTGGATAGAGGGGAGTAAGTGCATTGAAGGTAACAGCCTGTTGTGGGATAGAGAGGAGTAAGTGCATTGAAGGTAACAGCCTGTTGTGCGATGGGTGGAGATAAGTGCATTAAAAGTAACAGCCTGTTGTTGTGCTGTAGTGAGGGGGTAAATTCTTTGAAGGTAACAGCCTGTTGCGGTGCGGTAGTTAAGTGGGTAAGTGCATTGAAAGTAATAGCTTGTTGTGGTGCGGTGGAGGTGGAGGGGGGTAAGTGCATTAAAGGTAACAGCGTTACACTGCGTGGCTTCAGTGGCTGTGTGGTTTGACGATGCTAAGCAGGGCTCAATTTTAACAGTCGTCCGGTCGTCCGTGACGACTGGATTTTCTCTCGGGCAACTACAAATTGCTTCCGTGGTTGTCCGGTGTCCAACCTCTATAAAAAAATTTATATTCATAAATTTATTAATGCGCGCGTTCATTTTACATACGGCCAGGTAAGGGTTGCACAATACGCTGCAAACGTACATGTCTAGACGCATTGTTTGGCTTGCTTGATACAAAGTATAACATCACGTGTTTAACAACACAATGTTTCGTGTTAATTTTCAATTTTTACTCATCTGTGACTTGACACAGTGTTAGTAATGTTAGTAATGTTAGTAATGTTAGTAGTGTTAGTTAACTTAATGTAAATGTTATGAAATAAATTTCATGCAACTTTTAATTACTATTATTATACGTCATTGATCCCAGCATCATTTACCACATTACCAATATTTTATTCTCTTCATATAATGATTAGGCCTTTTGCTTTACAGCACTGAGCATCACGTGAGCAGAGCGCATGCAGCACATGTTTAAATAATATCCGGACAACCAAAACTCTTGTGGGACAACCATATGCTACTCTCTTGGTTGTCCTCCGGACAACCCAAAAAAAACCTTAAAATTGAGCACTGCTAAGCTGACATGACATGATGGTGGCAACGAACCGATTACAATTAAACCTCGATTATCCGAACGAGACGGGCGGGGAGTATTTTGTTCAGATAACTGATGGTCTAGTGGCTTATTAAATATTCACGGGACCTTGAGATCGCATAATCCGAAATTCAGATAATTGATGTTTGGATAACCGAGGTTTGACTGTACTGTCCACTGCTGCTCCTTGGCTGCAGTGTAACTAGTCCGCCTGTAGCTGGCAGGTGACGCGTGCCAGGCATGCTCCTATCCTGCCGTGCTCGATATCCAAGCACACATCATCGCTCCCTAGGCATCAGTTCTCTCACAGAATGTACGGGTCTCGCAAGGATAAGAAGAAGAGAACGTAACAGTCTAACAGAATGAGATTCTGCTTAAGTAACGGCGATCGAACCAGCGTGATTTACTACTTTACTATTTGAGACTTATAAACAGGTGTTAAACTTAATGTTTAGATTTTTTAGGGTTTAAATGATCGAAAAACGATCGACGGCACAATGGCGGTTCGATAACGCATCTTCGTTCACTTGTTTCAGGAGCCGGTCGCGGTCACAACGAAAACGCACGAAATACAGTCGCTCAAGATCACGGTCGTATTCCAAAGGAAAGAAGTCAAAGTCATAGTAAGTAGATCTTTGATCTTTGATTAAAATGAAACAGATCTATGATTAAAATTCATCGCTCATATTTAATCTTGCTAAGCGATGCCTAGTCAAATATTTTTACCTACAAAGAAAGCAATTAGATTTTATATTGTTTTAAAAATACTATCAAGTTCTATTGGTTTAATTAAAATGTTTTGTCATATCATCACTAAATGTATTTCTCGTGGTTTTTTTTAGTTCAAGAAGCAGAAGGTAAGTGTGTACAAATTCATGTAACGTTCCTAGTATTACTTTCCTGGTAGATTGTAGATACATTATTAGCACAAATTTTTCTGCAGTTTAGTTTCTCTTTAACCATATCATATGCTATACTAGGGTTTCACTCTAAAAAATAGTTCAACAGAAATGAGTTATAAATAATGCATGTCGAAAGGCTACTGAGTGAATTTCACCCCTGTACCATTTCCACCAACTGTCAGACCATGTCTGTGTGCGTGCGGTTTCGTGTGCGATCGTGTGCATAACCGACTCGCGAGAAAGCCAAAGGTCGCCGAAGCGTCGAACT